TCAAATGCCAGTCGGTAGGCGCGGATGGTCTTAGCAACGGACCCGCAAAGCAATTATCAGACGGGCTCGAGGATTGGAGGAAATGATAATTCAGAAAAGAGCGCGACGAAAATTATACAAGCTGCTACTGCTACTTAATGATAATGGTGCAAGATGCTCGGCAGGTTGAACTCGGAAAGTACATGAGACTGGAGACAACCGGCAGGGCTCTTGAGGAACATTGACGGAGCAACAACTCGGAGAGAGCTTGAATGGGAGGAAGACACAGTGTACTTGATCTTGACGGCCTGGGACTTGAAGATATTTGACGAGAACACGCCGACTTGAACACGACCAACTTGATCATGAAAGGCAAGCAAAGCGAGAGGGGAAATCGATCGTGGGGGGGATAAAGGAAAGAAGGCGTGCCGAAAAGATGGCTCTTTATAGGCGAGCCACCTCAGCGACGAAATTCTGTTTTTTGTGGCAAGTCCGTCTGGTATATTGGGCAATCGAATAATCCAACAACTGAGCAGAAGGACAACGGCATGAGGACATCAACAACGGAAGTTGATGGCTGGCGAATCACCCTCTAGCCGAGGCTAGCCGAGGTCTCCTGCGGTCTATGCGTCTATGGCGTCTCCCGGAGACACGCCATGTCTCTCAGGTCAGAATGCGTTTCCAGATGGTGGTCTCCTCGTCTTCTGATGTTTTTGGAATCCCCCAGTAAGCAGCCCCAGTCTCGCGGAGGGAAGCATCGAACCATACGGGGACACTGTCCTTCTCGACTACGGCAGCAACCCTTGGGTTCAGGTCTCCGATGCGTCCACCGCGCAGGTCCTCTTTTCCGCCATAATCGGCCCGAACAACGCCTCGCTCTGGCTTGGTGGGATTAACAACTACCGCGTGTTCCAGACGTCCACGCGCGAGTTCACAGGGCACCCGACGCAGCCTCCCAGTGTCGCAGTCGCGGGCGGGGACGTGTACGTGTCGTGGAACGGCGCGACGCACGTCGCGAGTTACACGCTGCTCACTGGGTCCAAGGTGGGGGACGTAGGGAAGAAGGTGGCGAGCGTTGCGAAGGCTGGGTTCGAGACGATGATTAGTGCGAGGGGAGCCGGGGAGTTCGTCGCTGTTGCCGCGGTGGCTGCGAACGGGACGGTCTTGGGGCGGAGTTCTGTGTACCGGACGAGTGATGGGAGTGTGGCAAATTAGGTGCCGAGACAGTTCTAGTCATATTGGATGTATCCGGACAATTTCTCAACCAATCATGATTTCGTATCAGGCATGTTCCTCAAAGCACAGTGAATAGAGGCAGACCTATTCAGCCTCGCACACAGCTAATTAAGTCTTCGTGTCACAACTGCCTCGATTAAGAATTTGCTTGCGGTTTTAGGGAGAGCCGGTGGTTCGACCCCATCCGGACATTCGTGTTCGCACCTTCTTTTTGTCGTTCCGGCGGCGGTTCTTTTTTTTGTTGCGTTACCGCCAAACCACTAGTGAAAATCGCTTCTCAGGACCTCATCAGCACTCGGCATTTTCGCTCAGCTTCAGGCAAACGCACGCCCTTGACCGCGTTTCTCTTTCGACGGGCGGGCTGATATTCGGACGCTCAGAAAAATCGTATTCAAGGTATCCAGGCAGCATCGAATTCAATCTCCTTCCAACTTCGCTATACACGTCCCCGTGGAGCAACGCAGCTCGCTCCCACCTCCTCCGTTGAATATCTTTGTAGCCTTTAGGGTCCGGGAGAGACGGTGGTTCGACCCCACCCGCGGACATTTGCGGCGTTTCGTGTTCTTTTTGCTCCCCTTTGTCTCGTGCCTCGATTCCCGCAAAACGAAACACGATTGAACGCGGCCTGGCCCAGACACATCTAGCCATGGCCCATGATCGCTGTCTCAGAACACCGTGAATATTTCATCACACCTTGAGCCCTGTCTTGATTCTTGAAGGTCTCTTTCGATTTATTTGTCGTGGCCCGGGAACAGTGGACCGCCAAATCAACGCACGCCTGGACATCGGCATCGTCCAGCCCAAGTCTTGGGGGAGCACCGAGGCAGCGGTGGGCCGACTCCACCTGAAGACGTCTGAGGCCCCTGCGATCTTGAGGGCGACGCAGCCCGAATATGAATCCACATCCGCGCACATTCAAATCCCCTCGAGTTCGAAGTTGAATTCGGACCAGCCCCGCACCCAGCTACCCAAGTCCCCGTGGAGCACGGAAGCCCGCTCCCGCCATTTGGTTTCCGAAACTTCTGCTGTTAGGGAGAGACGGCCCGGAGACATTCGGTGTTTCGTACCTGCTTTTTGTCTTCCTACTCGTCTTGTCTTTCTTCTCCTAAGTTCAGTCCGACTACCCGCGAGCCAGGCAAATCCCAGATGAGAAGAGGCAGACTTGCATGTATAGTACCGCACCCAGCTACCCAAGTCCCCGTGGAGCACGGACGCTCGCTCCCGCCACTTGAAACATTTTCTTTCCAGCTGATAGGGAGAGACGGTGGTTCGACCTGGAGCGATATTTATTATCTGCTTTTTGTTGTCTTGTCTTAACTTTTTTCTTCTCGGTTATTCGGCTGGCAAAATCCCAGATGAGAAGAAGCAGACTCAAAAGGGGAGCCCCGGACCAGCTACCCAAGTCCCCGTGGAGCACGGACGCTGGCTCCTGCTATTTGGATGCCGGAATTTCGTCCCAGCTGGTTCGGGAGGGACATTCAGTGTTTCTTTCACTCGTTTTTTTGTCTTTTGTCTTCTTGCACTCCGCATACCCCCGAGCCTGGCAAATCCCCGTGCGCCTCCGAATCAATTCTCCGCGCACCACCAAGAAGACGGCATCGCATAATAGGATTCTGAATTACAATCTGCAAATGCGGCTCTAAGGTAGGATCGGTAAGTGGATAGGGGGCAGGAATCGTCAATCGTCAATCGTCAATCAATCGCCACCAACGCGAAGCGAAGCGAATCGTAAATAATTGAATGGGGTGAGGAAGTCCGAGAATGCGTGCGTGCGTGCGGGGTATCGTAGTATCGTGCGGCGGGGGCGGAGTGGCGGAAAGAGAGGGTGAGGTGATGCAAGATGGGGACAAAAAACAGAGACAGCGCAGAACAGCGTGCGTGCGAGACGCCGTGAAGTCCGATGTGCGCAACGGTCGCTACCGCACCAGCACCGCACCGAGCAGCACGCCCGCGACGCTCAGCGCGACGCCCCCCAGCGGGAGGCCGAGCGGGCGCGCGGCGCCAGTGCCAGCGGGTGAAGACGACGCGGGGGGCGAGGAGCTCGCGGGCGCCGTGACGGAGACGGAGCCCGGCGTGCTGGATCCCGATCCGGAGTGCGAGCCCGAGCCGGAGTTGGACGCGGAGGACGACGGGGTGAACGACGGAAAGGAGATGGACGTGGGCGTGGACGCGGCGGCGCAGAACTGCTCGACGAGCGCCTCCGCGGAGAGGACCTCGTCCGGGCACGCGGTGAGGCACTCCACAAAGGTTTTTGCGTAGGTTTTGGGGCTGCGCGCATCGGATTAGTATCAGTTACTTATATTCAAGCACGGAAGGGAGAAAAAGCGACGCACGTCGGGCAGAAACAGTCTACGGCGACCTCGGACTCGCACGTGGCCGCGGAGGCGGCGAGCGCGAGGCAGTTCGTCACTGCGCCATCGGATTCCCGTCAGCGAATTCGGAAAACGCAGAACGACCATGACACACCACACGAGGAGACGCCACTCAGCGAGGGGAGCGCAGCCGAGTTGGTCGGTGTCCCGATACCGCTTCCGCTAGTACTTCCGCTAGCTGCGCTGGCGCTGGCACCCGTGCTGCTGGCGCTGGATGACCCGGCGGCGGAGGCGGCGAGGGCGAAGGTCAGGAGGAGGAGCGACGTCGGGAGCTGCATCGGGGTCTTGAAGGACTAGGGCGGGCAGGAGGAGGAGGAGGACTTGGGCGTGGTGGCGGTCAGGAGCAGCCGAGGTGTCACGCCATCACGCCGTGACCCACGTGTTTGCGGACGGCGATGTTCCTCCGTGAACGCGCCTCGGAATGTCTGCTACCCTCTGGTTTTTCGACTTCAATCTGCGTGCTTCAAATGAGAGTAACTCTTGGCTGTTCAAGACCTCCAGTTTGAATTGGGTAGGATCCACAATTTAGAGCGATTCCATTCGCCACAGCTCTTTTGCAGCTCTTCGGACTTCCCGCTCCTCTCCCACCGCCCGACTTCCCAATGGACCTGCGCTGGATTCGGTTTCACAAATAAGCCGCCGCCATACAATAATGTTAACAGTCTCTCGCCGCCCGGCCGTGATCTGTATTGGGCTACACTCGGTTGTAACTTTGTTTTTGGCTGAAGGCCGGACGGTTGGACAGTCTGAACCAGGCGGTGCAGTTCCAGGACGCGGAACATCAATAATGCATTTCTCGGACACGCTTCGATTAGCTCAAGTGACCATTGTCTCCTTGTCGCTCTGGAACTGGAACTAGAATCTCCTCGCTGTCCACACACCTCGCCAACTTGCGTGCAACAAACACAGAAAGAAAGAAAGGCTCCTCCCCTTCACTCCGTCCCATCCCCGTACTCTATCTCTTCTGAGCTCCGCTATTCTCCTGAAAGAAAGAAAAAACGTATTCCCATGCATGTCCCCGGGCGGATTCGAACCACCACTCTCCCTTATACGTCCCTTCACTACTTATTGGGCAGGAGCGAGTGCCATACTCAACGAGAAATTCATTGTGTACATCCATGGCTGGGTACCTGCGTCCCTTCGTAAGCCGATTCTGACCGCGCTCACGCCTCGCACTCCTGCTTTTTTGGACGTGTTCTTGCCTCAAAATTCATGCCAGGAGATACCTTGACCTTGCGGTGCGTGCGTTCGAAAAACTTGTATGAACATCCTACACATCTGCACAGGGAGTCAGCGTGTCAGCGTGACTGCGGCTGTGTTCGCCTTTCACTGCGTCCCAGACTTATAGTACCCTGCGCGACACCGGTTACATCCTCCCTGCAAAAAAACGGCTAGACATATACTATCTTTCAATGTCCCCGGATGGATTCGAACCACCGCTCTCCCATATGCCGCTCAAGACGTCTGTGCTCATTGGGCGGGAGCGAGCGCCGTGCTCTACGAGGACCTGACTAGGCAGCTACGAGGCTCGATGGGTGCGCCCTTCCCAGCTGGGGGTCTGGGTGTATTCTCTGCACCACCACCTGCACCACTACAGAGTTTTCTACCCCGCGCCTCGCTACCTTCCTCGCAAAAGCACCAAGGGGAGAAGGAAAGTCGTCCGAGCAACACTAATACCTCCGGGTGGACGCGAACCACTGCCTCTCCGACAAATGGCTGTAGCCAACAACGCATTGGGCAGGAGCGAGTCCAATCCTTTCCAGACACTCCAGAAATTTAAACGGTGCCGATTCTGAGCGCTCTGGCTCTTCCTTTTTCGGACGTGCCTCCAGTACTGTGCATCCAGAAATCTTACTGCGTGCATTCAATCCTCGTCGCCCCATCTCTCCCGGCCGGAAAATGGAAAAGGTGGACGAAAATTGCATGTCTCGGGACCGGTAAGGACTCTGACCACCCCACAGTAGAAGCTTGTTTTATTGACTCCATACCCCTGCAGGCTCAAGCTTAACAGATTGATTCGATCGACACAGATCACGGCTAACAAAGCATTTGCGGAACCAAATTTCCGATCACGGTTGAATAGGGGATCTGAATTGGTCTTACCTCTCTTCCCACTTACCACCGCCCCCTCTCGCTGTCCTCTCTCCAAGATGGAGAAAAACCTCGACGAACACCTAGATCTGCTACCGAAATTAAATCAGGACCCGCCCGCTCGCAGGCGGACGCATCGGACACCGCTCCCGAAGCTTCAGCTCGCATTATCATGCTGGTACAAATTACGGAACCGCTGGCGAGCCAGTCTATTTAGCCCTACATAAGCGAGGTGCGTAACTCGAATTGCTGCTTGTTTTGGGCTCACTGGCGTTGGTACTCTAGCTTGTTGGCGGGCTGGATATCGATGTCACTGGCGGAGTGGCCGCGTACGTGAGAGGGTCGGGTACTACGCGTCAGTCAGGTCCACCTCCACTGTGCTCTTATTTGCTTAACGAATGCCGTCCTCAGAGGCCTGGTGAGCACACCTCTGGCACAGCGTGCCACCGTTCCGTAACGGCTTCCCACAGATCGAGTCCTTATTCTTTTTGACCGAGGCGCTCACAGTACTTCACTGGAGCCGCGCCTCAGACAGATTCGGGCGGAAGGCCATCCTGTTAATCGGCCTTTCCGGCACCGCCCTATCAATGCTCTGTTTCGGTCTCTCGCGCACGTTCTGGAGATTAGTTGTCAGGTACATACCATTATTTCGTTGAAGCGGATCGGGAACTCAATTCTTCGGCTAGCCGTTGTCTCATGGGCGTATTGAATGGGAATTTCGGTGCGCGGTTTGCCATCTACTCGCACTTAGTCGCTGACTCTGGGGAAGGCGTCATAGAGAGTGCCATTGCCGACATGAGAGACCCGTCGAACCGCGCGCAAGGCTTTGCATATGTCCTAGGTCCGTCAATTCATCTCATTTCGAGCAGGATGATAAACTGACAAGTGGTGCCTCCAAAGTTGCATGGGATGCGGGAGTAAGTATAGTCCAATTAGTACCCTCATAGTTACTCAACGATACGATGATAGGCAGCGTTAGGACCGCTAGTAGGTGGTTTGCTCGCACGACCGCACGACAACTTTCCTCGTTTATTTCGGGGGAAATTCTGGAACGAGTTGCCATATTTTCTGCCCTGCCTGGTAACAAGCGGCTTCGTGTTCCTCACCTTTTTCGTGGTGTTCGCGCTCTTCACAGAGGTGCGTGAATACGTCAAATTTTTCATCGTCTGAACACTCATTCTTACAATCCCCGGACCGGCCCGCGTAAACGGGGGTACTCCCTCATCGCCGCGACCGACCCAGACTCCCCCACGCACACTCGCATGCGGTCCGGTCGCCGCCTAAGTCGCGAGCCCCTCCCCGTGCGCAACCTGCTCAGCTTCCCCGTCCTCATCTCCCTCGCAAACTATGTGACCCTCTCCTTCCTCCACATCGCCCTCTCCGCGCTCCTCCCCCTATTCCTCGCCATGCCGATCGCGCACGGCGGGCTCGGTCTCCCCCCCGCGACCATCGGGCAAATCCTGTCTCTGAACAGCGTCCCCACGGCGCTGTTCCAGGTCTTTTTTTCCGCGCGGCTGATCCAGCACTTCGGCGCGGCGCGCGTGTTCGTCGCGGGGCTCGCCGCCTGCGTCCCCAGTTTCACGCTGCTGCCGCTCATGAGCTGCGTTGCGCAGCACAAGGGGCTCACGTCCGTAGTTTGGGCGCTTCTCGGAGTCGTCCTCGCGCTTGGTGCGCTGCTAGGCACCTCATTCGGTGCGGCTCCTCCCTCCCGTTCCGTCGCGTAAATGTTAACACCGGTTCTGCAACCAGGCGCGATCTTCATGTTCGTTGCCCCCGCAGCACCGACAAGCAGCCGCGGGACCGTCAACGGCCTCACGCAGACCGCCGTCTCCTCCGCGAAAGCGCTCGCCCCCGCCCTCGCGACGTCGCTCTTTTCGCTGTCCGTCGAGCGCAATCTGCTCGGCGGGTACGCGGTGTACGGCGTCTTCCTCGTGCTTTCTGGGCTCGCCCTGCTGCTCGCGAAGCACCTACCTGCCGAGGTCTGGGATGAAGTTGATGATTAAGGAAGGGATTTAATGTATGGGGCGCGGCGGGGGCTTCGGATTCATGACGACACTCTTTCTTTGGGATTGGGATACGAGACGGACTTGAGCAACAAACTACTTGCTTAGCGGCATAAATACACAAGTGTACATTAAATAAATACCGGAAATTCATTCTATACATATCACCCAGATTTACTCCCATTTTCGTTAGCGCTCGAGTCCCATAAAGAACGATGCAATTTACAGCTGACGGAGAACTATTATTTAAGGTGTTGAAAATAGTTCCCGCACATGAGGCTGCACCGAGCAGCTGAAATCAGTGGGAGAGTCGAATGCCTGGATATATAATATCCGGGTTCTTATAGACAGTCGAAGACGTGACATGTTTTCCCTTTTATAGTTAAAATTACTGGATATGGTGTGTTTGATGTCCCATCACAATATAATGCTGCACAGCCACTTGCCGTTTCTCCTTACTGTTTCCCGCTGAGACGACGCTTTTTTTTTTTTTTTTTCTGTTCTGCTTTACATGTGTTTTCCTACCTTGCTGCTGGTCGGATAATTCCTGTACCGCAAATACACCTTCTCAAGGGCAAAATGTTTGCCTTTGCTGTTCCGGCCATCTGGTAGCTCTCTGTCTAGTCAGCTTCATTCTCATTGCTCGTTCACCTGCATTCACCCGCGTTACATTTTTTTTGCCTCTCGTATCTCGGCCACGCAATCACATTCACTGTATACTTTCTACAATCTGCATCACCACCATATAGTCGAATTTCTTATACCTGCATTAACTTGGCTCTCGTGCTATATTAATTGTTCTCGTTCTTGCATCCTGATACACGTCGACTTTCTTCTCATCACATTCCTTAGTCTTTTTGGTGCATCTAATGTAATTCTACCTACACTCATACCTTCTGTCATTACCATTAAGCAGATATACAGCAAACTCGATAAAAATCGTTAAACTGCATTCAAATTTGCCTGTACAACTAAGAGCATCACAAAGTCAAAACCACCGTGTTCGTTCAACAACAAGTGAGGTACCAATACCCCTAGTAAGGAGCTGCGTCCAAAATAAAATATATAGCCCGCTCGGAATCGGAGCCGTGGAAGAATGCCAAAAACTGAGGCTTCTGTTTCACTGTGTTCCTGGCCGATGTTCCATTCTCTGTAATATTTATGTGTTCGTTCAAAAGCAAGTAAGGTAACAATACCCCTGGTAAGGAGCTGCGTCCAAAAGAAGATATATAGCTTGTTCAGAATCGGAGCCGTGGAGGAATGCCAAAAAGTGAGGCTTCTGCTTCACTGTGTTCCTGGCCGATGTTCCATTCTCTGTAATATGTACATGTTGTTCATCTACGCTCGATCTGTGCATTTTTAACAATGCATTGAGGAGCGTAGAGGGTTTGGATGCTTACATTCGTTACGCTTGGAAGATCTGTTAACGCCCGCTGCTTCGTTGTATGTGCCATAGAGGCGGCACTTAGCGACACCCTCGAGTGACCAGTCGACTGCATAGGGTCGCTGCCACGTCTTTTCCGTGCCCTTCGCGCTGTACGGGAGGTTAGGGAATTACATCAATAAGCAGTCGCTGTCATCGCTACTCCGCCACGCCAGAGGACAGTTTCCGTCATGGGGACATGTGTGCGGCTGCGACCACTGTATTTACACGAACAAAAAAGTTTGATAGAGGTTGGATTCGACGACAGAATACTAATCAAAAACTCTCTGTGTAATCTGGTGTGAGGGGCGAGCAAAAAATGCCAGTGCTTTGAAAATCAATGCGCTTGCGAAAAGGTGTGTGGGTTACGATAACGGACAGACAGGACAAGGATAGACGTGTGGTGGGTACTATGTAGGAGCCAATTCACTCTGGACAAGATTGGGACAATATTTCGTTATATGCCAGAGCTCATGTAAACCGGGTATCCAGGCGCCGCCCGTTAGGGCCATTACCTTGGAATGACCAATATCACAACATTGAAGGTGACTTGGAGGCTACTTTGGTCCGATTTTGATGTGGAGGGAAGTCACTCGGAGTCCACTCCTGAGTTTCCGCCTCAACGTGGCATCCCAATAAGGCGATTTTGATCGCGGCAAGAAGACGGCCATCAACCCCTGATCAAGGTTTTGCTTGCAAGTAGCAGGGCAGCGCAACGTCAGTGGGGAATGGTGAGACCCTCTAATGAACGTTTAGTGTACTGGTTATGCGCGTATTTCGGTGGTTCTTACTTTGAATGGGTGAGCGAGTTCGGACCGGCCTGCATGCTTCTTTTTGTCGGTCCCGGAGTCTCTTGGCCCCGCCTGCCCAGTGCTCCCACGAGGCGCAGTAGGGAGCGCCAACGAATCTTTCGCATGCCGTCCTCATTTTATTTCAATTCCATGGAAATGCGCGCGGACCGTGCTGGCTTGAGATGTCCCCGAGGAATGG